GGACTTCAAAGGCTACAGCCATGGCAGGTATTTTCTTTCCCTTCATGGACATCACATCTGAGCATGACAATCGATTGTAGTGTTGCAGATATTAAATATTGTGCAGTTTGAAATGATTGGAAGCATAAGAACTGGAAGCATTCATTTCCTTTTGGAAATGAATTATTGTCTGGGCCCATAGAAATATTATTCACTCTTTACTCGCAGAACTCATTATAACAGAATGAGAACATCATTCTGTCCAGCACAGGCTCAGGATCTCTCTCTCTCTCTCTCTCTCTCTCTCTCTGTCTCTCTCTCTCTCTCTCTTACCTTCAGGAGAGCTTCCTTTCCATATTGACTCTATTGAGTTTTGGAGCCAAAGACAAAAAGGCAACTCCTTTCAAAAAGGAGATATTGCAATCCAATACCTTCATCACATGATCTAAGTTTACAACACTCACATGTTAGCTAGCAGAGAACAGCAACCAGTTAGTTAATCTTAATCTCTTAATCTCAGCAAGAGCCCAGAGCCCTTTAGAAAAAAAACTACAATGGAAAAAACCCAGTTTCCAAAACACATTACCCATTTTAAACCTTCCTTAATACATCTCTATACTTAAGAGATGTAAAGGCAATATTAAGTTAAGAAAGGCATAAGAAGTGATTCAGACGGAGGATTATCAGAGGTGCTGATGGAAGTCCAAGAAGAATGTATTTGTGATAAACTGTGTGGTACGTTTTATAATAAAAATATTTATATATAAAAAATAAACTTTCCTTAATACATATACATTTTTCATTTCTGTTTGCTATTCTTACTCTTGCCTCATTGCACAGCTCCCTGAGCAACTGCTCCCATCATGTGCCCAATTCTCCTTTCCCCGCAAGTTGGAATTATTTTTGGCAGGGGAGATGACATTGATCAGGCTGTCTCTAATCTCTATTCCTTTGACACCCGCTTGACTCTGCTCTGGCTCTCTGCTCCCTCCACCAAGCTCCTGACTTTCCCTGCTGAAGCCCATATTGTAGATTTCATTCAGTTTGCCTTGAAAGGAAAAACAAACCTAATTCACTCTTTCTGAAACAATCCAAGGGGGCAGCATCCTTCAAAAACATGCTTACTAGGAGAAAATCACACAGAAATGCTGAAGAATTCTGATGAGTTTCTATTAGTATTATTTAAAAAATGCTTCAGAAATGTGGAGAACTGAATTTAAGATTGGGGTGCGTGTGAGAGAGAAAACAGTATGAACCAAAAGTGACAAGATCCCTCCATTACTATTTGAGTTTGCAACCAGCTCTAAGCAAAGGGGAAGTGGATTGTCAGTATGCTTCCATTATTATTATTATTATTATTATTATTATTATTATTATTATTATATAATTTTAATTAAATTTTCAATCTACCAAAACCAAATAAACATTTTACAAATATCCGATGACTTCCCTTCTTCTCTTTCCATGGTTCATTTATACATCCTTGTATATTTTGCTATAACCATTCAAATCAGTTTTCTACTTTTACATCCATCAAACATTATTTACGTGGTTGAATTTATCTTAATGCTGCCACCGTTTTCAGCTGTATACAGTTATTTTCCATATATTCAATAAATGCTTTCCACTCTTCTTTCAATGTATCTTCTTCTTGCTCTCTTATTCTGTATGTTAAATCTGCAATTTCTGCATATTCTGTCCACTTAAGTTGCCAATCTTCTTTAGCTGGGACCTCGCTCACTTTCCATTTCTGGGCTAGCAAAACAGGGGCCTATGCTTCCCTTTATTCTAAATGCTCTCATCTTTGCTTCTGTTCCAGCTCCACCCTTTCCTAGGAAACACCCAGTTCTACAATTCTTCCATGGACAGAGTGTATTTGGATGAGAACGGGGAGCTGGCAGCTGACTTAGACATTGTGAACTGGGTGGTTTTCCCCAATAAATCCGTCCTCAGAGTGAAGTTTGGGAGTATTGACAGACAGGGATCCCCAGACCTGAAGTGCTCCATCGACCAGGAGGCCATTGTGTGGCCCAAGTGGCTCAATCAGGTGACGGGGACTGGGAATCATGCCTGTCATTTTGCTGTCTTTTCTGTGAGCTCTAATAAGTGCTCCATGTTCTGTGGGCTGCTGCCCTCAGTTGCTTGTCAACTCCAGCACTGGGCCGTTGTTCAAGATAGTTCCTACAGTTCCTCTGCTCAGCTGGGTGCCAAAGGAGGCTTCCTGCTAAAATGTGTGTCTGGGGAAAGGGGGGTTCCTTGCTTTTCTCTTGTTGCATGTATTTTATCAGTAGTGAATAGCTCATGGCCCATATACAGAACTTTTTTTTTTTTTAATGATATTTATTAAAGTTTCAAAAAATACAAAAACAGAAAATAAAAATACAAGAAAATACAAAATACAGAAAAAAGAATAAAGTTTTTAAGATATAACAAAAAAAATAAAAATAAAAGGAGACATACAAAATAAAAACAATTAAAAACACATCGTTAATTTTCCATAACATATCTTCCTTTCACTTATTTCCCCGGACTTCCTCGTACCTCCCTTTTTGTATTCCAGTTCAGTTTGTTAGTTCAGCAAATCCTTACCATTAAGCTTTTACCCATTTATAAAACCTTTTTCGTATCTCTTAAAGCATTACAGCTGGAAACCACTTAGTTTCTATCCAACATCCTTCTAAAATTCCTTAATTTTACAATATTTCTGTAAATAGTCTTTAAATTTCTTCCAGTCTTCTTTCACCGACTCTTCTCCCTGGTCTCGGATTCTGCCAGTCATTTCCGCCAATTCCATGTAGTCAATCACCTTCATCTGCCATTCTTCCAGAGTGGGTAGATCTTGTGTCTTCCAATACTTTGCAATGAGTATTCTTGCTGCTGTTGTGGCATACATAAAAAGTTCTATCCTTCTTTGGCACCAATTGGCCGACGATGCCCAGAAGAAAGGCCTCTGGTTTCTTCAGAAAGGTATATTTAAATACCTTTTTTATTTCATTATAAATCATCTCCCAGAAAGCCTTAATCCTTGGGCACGTCCACCAAAGGTGAAAGAATGTGCCTTCAGTTTCTTTACATTTCCAACATTTATTATCGGGCAAATGATAGATTTTTGCAAGCTTGACTGGGGTCATGTACCACCTGTATATCATTTTCATAATATTCTCTCTTAAAGCATTACATGCCGTAAACTTCATACCTGTGGTCCATAACTGTTCCCAGTCAGCAAACATAATATTGTGTCCAACATCTTGTGCCCATTTAATCATAGCAGATTTCACCGTTTCATCCTGAGTATTCCATTTCAACAGCAAGTTATACATTCTTGACAAATTTTTAGTTTTGGGTTCTAACAGTTCTGTTTCTAATTTTGATTTTTCCACCTGGAAGCCAATTTTCTTATCCAGATTATATGCCTCCATTATCTGGTAATAATGAAGCCAATCTCTCACTTTATTTTTTAATTTCTCGAAACTCTGCAATTTCAATTTGTCTCCTTCTTGTTCCAAAATTTCCCAATATTTCGGCCATTTGGCCTCCATATTGAGCCTTTTCAGAGCTTTCGCTTCCATTGGTGACAACCACCTTGGAGTTTTATTTTCCAATAAATCCTTGTATCTTGTCCAAACATTAAACAGTGCTTTCCTGACAATATGATTTTTAAATGCTTTATGTGCTTTGACCTTATCATACCATAAATATGCATGCCATCCGAATACGTTGTTAAAACCTTCTAAGTCCTTCTAAGGGGGGTTCCTTGCTTTTCAGTTGTTGCATGTATTTTATCGGTAGTGAATAGCTCATGGCCCATATACAGAACTTTATTTAATGGAGGTCCTTTGTTTTTTCCTGAATTTAATCATGAATAATTCATGTAATGGACAGTGATGGGACATGCTTAGTTTCAAGCTATAGTCTAGATGCTACAGCAGATACTATCCGTCAAAGAACAATTCTCATTGACGCTCTTTGTCTTTGTGCCTAGACCATTCCTACTTCCAGGTGTGTGGAAAGCTGTCGCCCTGGATCCGTCAAGGTGATTCAGGAAGGGAAGCCTCTTTGCTGTTATGAATGTCTTCCCTGTGCAGAAGGGACCATCTCCACTCAGGAAGGTGGGTGACTCCAAGGGAAAGGCTGGCCTTGGGGAAGAGAGAAGGGTTCAGTCAGGAATCTCTCAAAACCATTTCTGGGCAGGACAAGGCTGGTATGTTTCATGTGTGGAAGTGAACTGGGTGGTTCAAATTATCATCACCATCTCTTTTTATGATTGTTGTTTACGATATTGTTCTAAAATGTATCATCATCAACATCATATATATATAAATATGATCAAATGTGAAGGAGGGAGGTCTAAACCACAAAGCCTCTTCGTCTTGCTGATTGGAAGGTCAGCAGTTTGAAACCACGCGACAGGCTGAGGTCCCGTTTCTCTGTCTCAGCTTCTTCCATCCTAGCAGTTCGAAAGCACACCAGTGCAAGTAGATGGATAGGTATCACTGCAGCGGGAAGGTAAAAAATGTTTCCATGCCCTCTTGCATTCGTCATGGTGTCCCTTTGCATCAGAAGTGGTTTAGTCATGCTGGCCACATGACCCAGAAAGCTGTTTGTGGACAAACACCGGCTCCCTCGGCCTGAAGCGAGATGAATGCTGCACCCCATAGTTGTCTTTGACTAGACTTAACTGTCCCGGGGTCCTTAAGGAGGGAGATTGTTATGGACCTAGGGTAGATATTAGACTTCTGCACAGACCCCTGGTCCTCCTTTTGGCCCTGGTATAGGGGGCTCCAAGAAGCCCAACCTGCCAGAGGCCAAGCTGGGGATCTCTAGCCCTGGAATCTGTCCCAAATTTCTTCGGGGTAGAGCTAATGTTTAGAAAAACCTAATTAAATACCTGTAAGTGATCTGTGGCTGTCCCAGACTGACTTGGTCTGCAACTGAATCTCTCCCAAGAGGCTGGATATTGCTCAGGGCTTGGCTAAATCCAGAGTAGTAGACATTACTCTCTCTCTCTCTCTCTCTTGCAGATGCAGACCATTGCAAAAAATGCCCAGAAAATCAGCATCCAAACATGAACCGAGATCAATGTGTGTTCAAGAATATCACCTTCCTAGCCTATGAAGAATCTCTGGGGGTTGTCCTACTTTCCCTTGCCCTACTGGGGTCCTTAGCCACAAGCTTTGTTTTAGGAATCTTTATTAAATACAACGAAACTCCCATAGTCAAAGCCAACAACCGGGACCTCTCCTACATCCTCCTCGTCTCCCTCCTGCTTTCATTTTTGTCCTCCTTCCTGTTCATTGGGAGGCCAAGGAAAGGGACCTGCCTTCTCCGACAAACAGCCTTCAGCATCATCTTCTCTGTTGCTGTTTCTTCTGTGTTGGCAAAAACCATCACTGTGGTTCTGGCCTTCCTGGCCACCAAGCCAGGGAACTCAGTGAGGAGATGGCTGGGGAAGAGTCTGGCCAACTCCATTGTCATTTCCTGTTCCTGTGTCCAAGTTGTCATCTGCATGATCTGGCTGGGGATCTCGCCACCATTCCCAGACTCTGACATGCACTCCCAGCCTGGGGAGATCATCCTGCAATGCAACGAAGGGTCTGTGGCCATGTTCTATGGTGCCCTGGGCTACATGGGCTTCCTGGCTGCCATCTGCTTCACGGTGGCTTTCCTAGCCAGGAAGCTGCCTGGGGCCTTCAATGAAGCCAAGCTGATCACCTTCAGCATGCTGGTCTTCTGCAGTGTTTGGGTGTCCTTTGTGCCCACCTACCTGAGCACCAAAGGGAAATTCATGGTAGCTGTTCAGGTTTTCTCCATCTTGGCCTCCAGTGCTGGGCTCCTGGGCTGCATCTTCCTTCCCAAATGCTACATTATTTTGCTGAGACCTGATCTGAACACAAAGGAGCACCTGACAGCAAAAACTTAAAATAGCATCTGATTCTTAAAATATTATTTTTCAAGAAGGTAGGGAAGTGAGATTCTTGAAAAATGATGTTTCAGTTTAAAAAATCGTTACCCTCATTTGATCATGTAGAACCAACCAACTTAATGGAAGTAGTTATGAAATTTGGATTTGGCTGAAAATTTGTTAAACCTTTGGAAGATATAGATCACATAGATCACAGGGAATTCACATTACCAAAATTTTGTAAATAGTCGTGGAATGGAACAAAGATGTCCACTGTCACTCCTGTTATTTTTCCAAGTGAATCTCCAGCCCCCGGCTCTCTCACTTCCTCATTCATCATCACCTCCTCTACGGGTGCTGCTAAGTACCCTCTGTCTTTGAGCTCTTTGCTCTCCTACTTTTAAGGCTTGCCGGGTTCTGGGACATGGTGGGTCTAGAATGGTTTCTAATGACGTGTCAGCCAGATGTTGCTCTGGCTCTGTCATGATTTTCCAACTTTTATCCTCATCTCCCTCTGAACTGTGACTTCCCTTTATACTTTCTTCCTCTTCCTCCTCGCTGGGAGGGTCAGGATGGAGGGGTGGTCTCCCCCATTCCTCCCTGGCCCTTAGTCATCTTGGTCACCCTTCACCCCATACCTGCCAACTCATCTATATCTTCCTTAATTTATGGTGCCCAGAACTGGACACCGTATTCCAGGTGTGGTTTGACCAAAGCGGAATAGAGTGGGACTATTACGTCCCTTGATCTGGACACTATACTTCTGTTGAAGCAGACTAAGATTTCACTTTTATAAGCTTTATAGAACTGTTTAGAACTTTGACAGCTGCCTGGAACTTCCAAAACTGTATTGGAGAATCACGGGAGGCGGGAGCCATCCATACTCCAGACACCAAGAAGCAATCAGGGCGCGTTGCGCAATCAAAGTGGTGCGGGAAATTTATGGTGCTTGTGTTCAGGACCCTTGTGTTTCTGGGACCCATAGATGGCTGTGGGGACATGCAACAGACCACGCTTATAGAGAGCATGAAACCCACAAAAATGGTTAGCTCCATTGGGCCCTTAACTTTAGAAAAGGGGGGAGTTTCAGGGAGCATGTGGAAGATTGGGGGAAATCAAAACCCATTTCTCCTGATCAGAACTGATGAGTTGATGACCACTGTAAGCAGATGAAAACATTAGCAGGATTGCAATAACACTTGTAATGTAGCAATTGCTATGGAGAAAATGGAGTGATGTAAAATATGGACTATTGAACAGTATGCAGTTGAAAACCCATGGAGGGGAAGGTGAGAAGTCCAAAGATTTGGAGAGATCTTTATATGTATGGCTGTATTGTTATAATCTTATACTTGTAAAATCAAATAAAAGCTATTAAAAGAAAAGAATTGATGAGTTGGTTGTGTTGAGTGCTCACAGCCCATCCCAAGCAAAATGTTCAGGTTCATTGGGCCCTTAATCCAAAATGGGGCTGAAGGGGCCACATAGGGCAGGGGGACTTGAAACCCATTCCTTGTGATCAAGAACAACAGGAAATTCACATAGGGGGTCCAAGCAACCCACCCTGAAAGCAATATTTAGCTTCATCCCTCTCTTAAACCAAAATAGGCTTTCAGGGGCCACCTGGAAGGTTGGGGCGCTCTAACACATCCCTTGGGATTGCAGGGGGATGAGATGGTTGTGCACAACCTGCCACCCTCAAAAATATGTTTGTGGTGACATTTAAAACTAGCCCGTTTGGGGTGTCCTAAAAGCACGAGGGAAAGAAGGAAGAGCACAGCCACTTTTCATTTGTGATGTAGGCTTTTTGCTCTATCCCTCTCACTGTCTGCAGCTGTTTAGGGAATTGACAAGACAGGGGATATTTTATGCACCAGACTTTTCAGACTCAGTGCGAGAAATCATGAATCTCTGGAGAAATCCCTGGGAAAAATAAGAATATTTATGAGGCGGGGAAGCATCGCCCTGGCAACCTTCTGGAGTCTCTCTGTGGCTTGAGGAGCAGATGCAGAGCTGGAGAAAACATGTTTGCAAGAACACAGAGAAGCAGCTGCCCTGTTTTGACATGGGCCAGCATAGGGTGGAAAGGTCAGCTTGGACTTTAAATAGCAATGCACCTTCGTTGGGGTCAGGACCAATATATTCTTTTAGAATGTATGCAAATATATACACGCTCTACATCGAGTACCTATATCTGGACACTGTGAACTCATGAAACCCACTCCCTTTACAAGGAGATTCTTATTCTTATTATTTTTTATTTATTGAGTTTATATACCGTTGTATACATAGAGGTTTCAGGGGCGTTCACAGAAAAGATCACAACATATATAACCAGAATAAAAACAGCAACCCAATAACACCCGCCCCCCGAAAGGAGCCACATTTTAAAAGGGTATAGGATGTCAATCAGGTCAACCAAAGGCCTGGTTAAAGAGGAAGGTTTTTGACTGGTGCCTAAAGGTGTATAATGAAGGCGCCAGGCAAACTTCCCTGGCAAGAGTATTCCACAGACAGGGAGCCACTGCAGAGAAGGCCCCGTTCTCATGTTGCCACCCTACGGACCTCTCAAGGAGGAGGCACACGAAGGAGGGCCTCAGAAGATGATCTCAGGGTCCGGGTAGGTTTATATGGGAAGAGGCGGTCCTTGAGGTATTGCAGTCCTGAGATCACGCTGACATGCTTGGATCTCCACATCCCCAAGGCCATCTTCCCCCTTACCAGACACATTCTCCACTAACTGAACCTTCCGCACCATCAGAATTATCACAAAGCTTTGTCTCCTTGCGCGTTCTCTGAGGTTTGCAAAGAACTCCAACCATTTGCAGTCATCCCCAACAAACAGAACTTTATTTTTCCAATACAACGCAACTTAAGTACAGGCAACTCGTCGTTTGCACGGGGGTTGCGTTCTGGGTCATCGCACAGCAGCAGTCACGCAAAAGCCCATTTTGCCCCCCCCTTGTCTTCTGGGGCCGAAAACGACGTGTGGGTTGCACATGCACGTCAATCTATCGCTCACACGATGGTTCCCACCTGCATAAGAAAAAATCCTTGTTTTGTATGGAGTCAGCAGGGATAGAAGGTGCCTTCATGGAGGGAATCAAATCAATTTATTCTGGTCAAAGAGCCAAACTGATTATTAACAACAACTTAACTGATACATTCGAGATTTCTAAGGGTACGAGACAAAGCTGCCCCTGTCACTGCTTCTTTTCATAATGATATTGGAAGTAATTGCAAATAAGATAAGGGAAACACCAGAGATACGAGGAATTAGAATTGGGGTGAAAGAATTCAAACTGAAAGCATACGCGGATGACTTGGTAATCTCACTGGAGGACCCAAAACAAAGTATGGACAAGGTCCTGGTACTTCTAGAGGAATTTGGGAGAGTAGCGGGCTTCAAGCTAAATAAAACTAAAACTAAAATGATGGTAAAGAACATGGGGGAAGACCTAAGGAGGCAGTTAGAACTCCAATCAGGAGTTAAAGAAGTAAAAAAAGTAAAATACCTAGGAGTGTGGCTTACAATGAAAAACATAAATTTAATGGCTGATAACTACATAAATACCTGGAAGGATATCCAAAAGGAATTAGACATCTGGAACAGGATAAAACTCTCCTGCTCAGGTAGAACGGCAGCAATCAAGATGTGCATACTGCCGAAACTATTATTCTTATTCCAAAACGCCCCGGTGATCAGAGGAAGTGCAATATTCCAAAACTGGCAAAAAATTCTCTCCAAATTTATATGGCAAGGTAAAAGACCGAGAATCAGATTTAAATTGCTAACAGATAAAAAAGACAGGGGAGGATTCTCGGCCCCAAATTTGAGACTGTACTATGAAGCCTCGTGCCTTTGCTGGCTAAGAGAATGAATCATTTTGAAAAATACAGATCTGCTAGACCTAGAAGGATTTGACTTAAGATTTGGTTGGCATGCTTATCTCTGGCAGAATAAGCAAAAGGTGCATAAAGGCTTCTCGAATCATATTATCAGAGGAACATTGTTAGAAATATGGGAAAGGAACAAGAAACTATTGGGGGGAAAAACTCCCTGGTGGTTATCGCCTATAGATATGTTAACTATTAAAAAAACAAATATGGAAGGTGAGAGATGGACTTATGAAGACCTCCTAGAAAGATCAGAAAGAGGATGGAAAATTAGACCATATGAAGAGCTAAAAAGTAAATTATCAGGTTGGCTGCAGTACCATCAAATTAATGCCTTATGGAAGGATGATAAAAAGATCGGAATGAACGGAAAAAAATCCAAGTTCCAGGTAGAAATAATAGAAGGTAAAACCAAATTACTATCTAAAATGTACAATCAGCTATTAGAATGGGACATCAAGGACGAGGAGGTTAAGGATGTCATGACAAAATGGGCAATAGACCTCGGATACAGTTTGGATTTTAACAAATGGACGAGGCTGTGGACTAAAGGAATGAATTTTACAGCTTGCACCACCCTTAGAGAAAATATGGAAAAGATGATGTACCGTTGGTACATCACCCCTGTGAAACTGCAAAAAATGTATAAGACTGGAGATAATAGGTGTTGGAAGTGTAAAACCAAAGAAGGAAGCTTCTTCCATATGTGGTGGAAGTGTGAAGAAATCAAAAAAATTTGGGAATCAATATACAATGAACTGAAAAAAATACTTAAATACACCTTCATTAAAAACACCGAAGCTTTTCTTCTGGGAATGATTGGAGACGAGATTAAAAAAGAGGATCATATAATGTTTCAATACGCAATCGTAGCTGCCAGGATCTTGTTAGCAAAAAATTGGAAAACCCCAAATATCCCGACTGTTAAAGATTGGCAAACTAAATTATTTGAATATCTGGATTTGGCAAAAATGACACAGAATATTAGACAGTGAAAAGGTACAAAGTTTATTGACGATTGGACTAAATTTATAACATATATGGAATCAAATTCTAGAGATATAAAAATCACAGTAGGTTTGATATAACCCTTGCGATG